ACAGTGCCATTCTAATGTGGGAATTCTTCCCTTTTTAGGCATCACATCTTACGGAGTCCCTCGCAGTGAGAAGGAAATCATGGCTGAGATCTACAAGAACGGCCCAGTGGAAGGAGCCTTCATTGTCTATGAGGATTTCCTGATGTACAAATCTGGTGAGCAGCAGCACTGGGGCTGTGGGGGGGGAGCTCTGTTCCCTGCTTCATCCATAGGGTCCCTCTTTTGTGGCCCTGGTCTGTCTTCCCCAGCCTTGGAGATCTCAACCTCACACTTGAGTACCTGGTGTGGCAGGACAGGGGCAGAGGCCATCTCCTGTATCCATAGAAAGGGTAATGGGTTCTTGGGACTGCTGCAGGGAAGGAGCCCTAATGGGAACCACCCCAAATTCCAGCTGGCAGCAACAGCTCAGATTTTAGGACCTCAAAACTCTTGTTGTGAACTGCCTTTGAGCCCCTTGGGGAATGTCTCTGAGTGTCCAGCTGGTGCTGAGCATCGGTCACAGAATATGGAATGGTTTGGGTGGGAAGATGATGATTAAAAAATTGTCTCATTCCAATCCCTGCCATGGGCAGAGACGCCTTCCACTGTCCCAGGTTGATCCAAGCCCTGTCCAGCCTGGCCTTGGACACTTCCAGGGATCCAGGGGCAGCCACAGCTTCTCTGGGCACCCTGTGCCAGGGCCTCCTCACCCTCCCAGGGAACAATTTCTGCCTAACACCCAACCTAAATCTCCCACCTTTTAGTTTAAAACCTTTCCTGTCTGTCCCTTTGCTACCTCCTTGTGTATAACTCCTTCCTCCAGACTCTGCACTGAGTTTCAGTTTCACATTTAACCCCAAACCCTCCTCGGCTGCTCTGGGGGTTGTGACACCAGGTGTCCCCCAGGCTGTGAGCACTCTGTGGTGTGAACAAGCAGTGCCTGTTGACGTTTTGTTGGTTTTTTTTTCCCCTTGCAGGGGTGTACCAGCACGTGTCTGGGGAGCAGGTGGGAGGCCATGCCATCCGCATCCTGGGCTGGGGCGTGGAGAATGACACTCCCTACTGGCTGGTGGCCAACTCCTGGAACACGGACTGGGGGGAGAACGGTGAGAAGCACGGCAATCCCCGCCCCTTTTCCCCACCCATGGATGCAGAAGGGTGACTTTGTGGTTTTTTTGGCTCTTGGTGTTGTCCCAGGCTTCTTCAAAATCCTGCGAGGAGATGACCACTGTGGCATCGAGTCCGAGGTTGTGGCTGGCATCCCCAGGACGGAGCAGTACTGGAAGAGGATGTAACTCTGATCAAACCACAAATAATCCTGAGTCCCTGATGCTTTTAACTGATAGTGGGTTGGGTGCAGAGACCCCCCCCTTCTAAAAGAGACTCTAGTTCAGGTTACTTTATTAAAGCTTTTTATCTTTTTTTTTTTCCATTTTTTGTCGATTTTTTTTTTTTTAATTTTTGGGTTTGGTTTTGTTTTTTAAACTGTACGGTGGAGCTGGAGGTGAAACTGCTCTCTGCCAACCTCCTGCTTCTGGTGGGTCACAGCAGGACATTGGGGCATTCCCTGCTCAGAGGACTGCTGGAGAGCTCACTGGCCTCTTGGAATTTAGTTATCCTGGACCCCTTCCAGCCCACTTTGCTACTGGGAGGGCAGGAAGCTCTAATTTTATGCTGGGATTAGCGACTTGGTGGGGTAGCAGAGGTGGATGCTGCTGGAAAGCCATGGCCAGGGGGGGATTTGTGCACCCCCAGATGGGTTGATCTGACTGTTAGCACCTAAAACAAGCAGGGAAGAATTCCTTGTGAGTGTGTGCCTTGAATTGGCTAAATTTAGACCTAATAATGACAAAATACTGAACTTGATGTGGGGGTGGCTCTGGCCAGAGCTGCCTGCACCAAGCCCCTCGTGCATTGGCTGCTCTGCTCCATCCTTCTGGCTTTTCAAACCACTTCTTCCTCAACTGTTCACTGGCTTTTTTATCTGCTGTAGTCTGGGGTTATAGCTGCTGGGGAAGAGCCTGGCTGGAGCTCCATGAGCCTTTGGTCAAATATCCTGCAAGCATCTGGGAGGGAGCTGGAAAGAGCAAAGTCCTCCCCTGCAGCTGAGCAGCTTGGTGTGTGCAGGTCATGCCTGGGAAAGGGTGCAGCACCCAAATTTGGGGCTGCAGGTGCTGAATGTTGAACTTAGGGATGGTTCCCAAGTCTGCTGCAGGGAGGTGTCTCACTAACTTGGACACAGTTAAAACTTTTTTTTTCCTTGAGCCACAGGCATTAAGGAAGGTAAAAAACCTTATTTTTGTTACTGGGGGGAGGTGTAATAGTTGTGTATAGGAGGAATCATGTGATTTGCCAACACTAATATAGCAACGAGCTTTTTTTGTTTTGTTTTTTTTTTTAATTTTAAAGCACAAAATACATTACTGAGCTGAGGCTGTGGGTCTGAAACATGTGAAGCAGGCTCTCCTGTAAAATAGCCCCTTACCTCTGCTTGCTCAGGCACCAGTGAGGCAGAGCTGTGCTGTATTTGGCTGGAACACCTGTGCCAATAAATGATTTCTCCAGTGTCTTGGCTCCTGGCTCTTGGTTGCTTCTGCTTGGCTTCTTCCACCTCAGATGCTTGTCTGGAGTGGAAGCCAAGTGAGACCTTTCTGTCTTCAGAGAATGGTTTGGGTGGAAGGGATCTTAAAGCTCATCCAGTTCCACCCCCCCTGCCATGGGCAGGGACACCTTCCACTATCCCAGGCTGCTCCAAGCCCCATCCAACCTGGCCTTGGACACTTCCAGGAATCCAGGGGCAGCCACAGCTTCTCTGGGCACCTGTGCCAGGGCCTCCCCACCCTTTTAGGGAAGAATTCCTTCCCAAAATCCCATCCATCCCTGCCCTCTGGCAGTGGGAAGCTACTCCCTGTGTCCTGTCCCTCCATCCCTTGTCCCCAGTCCCTCTCCAGCTCTCCTGGAGCCCCTTTAGGCTCTGCAAGGGGCTCTGAGCTCTCCCTGGATCCTTCTCTTCTCCAGGTGAACACCCCCAGCTCTCCTACCCTGGCTCCAGAGCAGAGGGGCTCCAGCCCTTGGAGCATCTCCATGGCCTCCTCTGGACTCTCTCCAGCAGCTCTGCAGGTGGGGTTTCACCTGAGGGGGGCAGAAACCCCTCCCTTGTGCAGGTGTGGTCACTGCCAGCCCTGTCCTGTGGCCCTGGTCACCCCTTGGGGTGTGTGCTGGTGATGGGGAAGATGCTTCCACTTGGAGCAGAGAGCAGCCAGGATTTGTCCCCAGCATCCCTGAGGATGCACCAGGGCCCTGCAGCCCAAGGCAGTGCCACCACTCCTTTCAAGGTGAATTTATGGACCCTCAGCTGTCCCTCTGGTTAAAATTCTTCCTCTAGGTCTGGCACACAGGGCTGTACTTTGATACCCAGAGTTGGCACCAAGGGAGCATTGGAATTTCATGAGCTGAGGGCTTGTATCTTGTGGGAAATTATTGGTGTAAAAGAAATGACAGCTGAAAAAAAAAAAAAAAAGATGATCCAGCACTTTCTTTTTTTTCCCAAAGAAAACTTTTAATTTCAACAAGACAGGAAGCTGCACAAAGAGAGCTACCTCGAATTTCTTTAGAACAACAGCTTAGATAGAACTATCTACACCAGGAACTGTGGAGGAGGGCTTCTCCTTCTGAGTAACAGCCTGGCCACAAGGGCTTGGCCTTGCAAAGGCCACCACCCTGCACCTGGTAGCTCTGTCCTGGACCAGGACATGGGCTCTCCTTCCCTTCACAACAGCAAAGCAGCATTTGAAGGGGGTGGGTAGGGACCTTGAAAACAACAATCCACCCCAGGAGAACAGGACTTGCCTTTAGAGTGTTGTTTCCTCTCCTAAGTCCAGCCTGATGTGTTTGAAGACAGCAGTGGGAGCCTCTTGCAGCTCTCACAGATCGGTCTGAGCCAGAGCCAAGTGGGCCAGGGAAACCTGCCCTGGTCCCCACCTTGGTGGCTCCAGCCTTCCCAGCTCACGGCAGGGATCACTCCTGCACTCCAGGGTGACCAATGCCCCCCTAAAAAAGCATCCCATGAGGGACAGCAGGGTGCAAACTCTCACTCCCCTGCCTTGCTCTGCCACGACCACCCATCCCCTGGGGCCGAGTCAGTGCAGAGCCCAGAGCCTGCAGTGGAGTCAGGCCTGGGGTTATGAGCTCAGGGCTGTGCTGGCAGCTCTCTTCTCATTTTAACCACCTGCCCACAGCTGAAACAAGAGCTGTGTCCCTGCAGGGCCATCTGGCCCAGGGCAGGGTGCTGCACAGCTGCCTTTCAGCTGGGGGCACATTCAGGTGGATAGAGTACCTCACCTCCCATTTATTTAACATTAAAAGGGCTCATTTCAGCATCCTTCAGCACAACAGAAATGTGATCATGGCCTCTGCCTGTTTCCAGGCTGCAGGATGTCAATCACTGAGGGCCAGAAAGTGGCCAGAGCTTTTTCCTTGGGTAAAGAAGCACGTTCCTCTCCCAGCTGAAGCAGCATCCTTCCAGCACGGAGCAGGCACCCGAGGTGAGGGAGAAGAGGCTGCCTAAGAGAGGGAGGCAAAACCCTCAAGGTTTTGCTCAGCTCTGAGCTGGAAAGATGCCTTAAATCTCAAGGAAGAAAAGAAACAACTTGAGTTTCTATTTCAAACAGGAAAAAAAACAAAACAAAACAAAAACAAACCAAAAACCACCAAAAATATTCAGGTAAACAGGAAAGAAAGGGGGGGAAAAATACTCAACCCCAAACACTAAGACTCCAGTCAGCATTTGCAGCCATCCAACAGACAGCAAGGGCGGTGAGGATGGAGTCCAGCAGTGCCACACTGTCACACCAGGGCTGCAGCTTCCCCAGTGTCCCATCCTTGTCACCATCCCAGTGCCCAGTGCTGGGCCACCCCCACGGCAAGGGGACGAGGAGCCTCCTGCCCCCCCCCCCCCCCGCCTGCGCCGGATCTGCGGGGAGAGAACCCCCCCCCCCCCGCTGCCCATCTGCCACCACTTGTCCCCCCACCCGGCCACTGCCCTTCAGTTGTCCCCTGCCTGCACGTACTCCTCGGTGGCCTTGGAGAGGGTGCTGAGGTACTGCCAGCTCAGGGCTGCCAGGAGCATGGCACAGGACAGGTAGATGGGGGAGTAGTGGTGGCGGGAGGCCATGGGGCTGCTGGGCAGGCTCATGGCACGGATGGAGGCGATCACCTGCTGAGTCTTGTTGGACGAGGGGTCCGTGCTCGGGATCTTCTGGTAGATCTGAAAGAGGAGGGAGGAGAAGTTAGGGCTCCCACAGGAAGTTTAGGAGGAAAACGGGGACGGGGTTGAAGTTGTCAGGGCTAAGAGTGACCCTGGTGGTGGAGTGCCATGAAGGAAGGGACAGCTGGATGGGTCATGGGGCCATCTCCCCTGGGAAGTGCACTAAGCCAAGCTGCCTCTTGAGGGCAGCCCGTGATGGGACATGGACCACACGGCCTCGGACACGATCCCTCAACCCCCAGTGGTGTTACTGGGATCAGGGGTTCTCGCCCTGCCATCCTCACTCACTGCTGCATTGCCCAGCTCAAACCAGTGGGAACATTCCTGCCTGGAAACAGCCACGTCATCACCTGGATCTGTGGCATTTGGGGTTTTTTTCTCATGGCCCCTGAGATACTTGTCTGCAGGAGTCTGAGCAAGGTGGGCACAAGCAGAGATCTTGGATTTAACCCTCTCCTGGCTTAAAGCCCTGCAATGCCACTGTCCCTTGCCATGGGATCAGCCAGTTCACAAGGGCAGCTCTAACAACCCATGGTTTGGGCTTGCTGCAGAAATCTTTTTATTTAACAGCCCTCATTGGAATTGGGTTTTGGGGAGGGGAGTGGGGTTTCTTCCCATTAAACCACCCACCAGTGGACTCTCTATGGTCCTGTGGAGATTAAAAGTTCACATGAAGTCAGGAGGAAGTCGTAAGGTCTCCTCTGAGGCTCCTTTTCACCCCTCCCCACCTTCCTCAGCCACTCCTGGTGCTCCAGACCCTTCCCCAGCTCCATTCCCTTCTCTGGACACACTCCAGCCCTTCAATGTCTTTTGTGTTGTGAGTGGCCCAGAACTGACCCCAGAATTGGGTCAAGGGGACGGGCACTGCCCTGGTCCTGCTCTGGACACACTACTGCTGCTCCAGGCCAGGATGGCACTGCCTCCAGCCCTGCTTCTCAACACAGACACAGACCAAGGGAACGTGTCCAAGGGAATACACCAAGCACAGCTTGGTCCAGCCCAAAGCCACACCAGGGTCACCACTCCCCACCACCACTGAGCCAAGGAAAAAACGAACAGACCCCTGTGTATTCCCAATTCCACCCCAAGAACAGGGACAGGAAGGGTCAGAAACGCCTCAAAGCTGAGCCTACCTCTTCCACATACTGGTACATGATGGCTTTGACAGCTTGTATGTTGGTGGCATCCATCATGAGGGTGACAGCCTGGCCCTTGCGGATCTTCACCACCCCCCTGAACACCTGCTGGTTGTTGTAGCAGGCAGCCAGCGTGGCTATGGCCATCACCTGAGGACAGACAGGAATGAGCCTTTCCTACACTGCAAGGAACTTGCCAAGGGATCACCCTGTCCACAGTGACATCCGTGGGGTGGAGCCACAATCTCAACAACAGCAGAAATGGCAGGAACCAAGAAATAAGCAAAAAAAACGACACAGAACCTCCCAGCCCTATTGTTTCTCGTCCTTGCATCTTCAGCATTCTTACATTTCTCTATCCTGAAATTTGCTTTCACATAGCTTTCTAAGAGCTTTATACCTTTTCTATTTCCCACACTCAACCTCCAAATCCTCACCAGCTGGGCTGCAGAGGATGAGGAAACATTTGGAAGCTCAGCTCACCTGGGGGATAGCACAGAAGTTGAAGACACTTTGGTTTTTGAGGCGGGACAGGTAGGTGAGGACATCAGGGACGTGGTGGAGGGCGTTGGTGATGAGCTCATTGAGGCACTGCACTGCCACATCAATGTTCTCTGGCTTGGCAAGGTCTGAGAGCTTCTTGGCATATCTGCTCCAAACCTAAACACCAAGAGAAGTGTTCATGAGCTGGAGGGTGCACTGATGTCATCAGAGAGACACCAGGACTGGGAGAGCAATAGGATCCACCAAAAACCCCCACACCAAAGCCTTGGAGCATCACTGGGATAAAGAAAAGCAGGAAGGGCAGGCTCTGGAGACGTGACAATGGCCTTGGTGTACACAAAGAGATGGTAAAGGAGGAGAGTGCAACTCATCTCCACATCTTTCCTAGGGAGGGCAAGGAAAAGCTGAGTCACACATGGAGAAATGTCCTGAGAGAGCTGAGCCACATGGAAAAGGGGGAGAAAAAATTTTGGACGTCATGTCAGGCACAGGCAGAGCTGATACTGCTTTTGGGAGCAGACCAGGTACACTCCTGGGATCTCAGCCACTCTTATCCTCCCTCATTCCTAGAGAAAACCTAGCAGAGAGAAGAAAAAGCTGCCTAAGTAGCTCTTGGCTGTGTGTGGTGACATCGCCTTGTCCCCACATCTGTACCCAGAGAGCTGCAGACAGATGTCAGCCAGCTGTCATCAGAACTGTTACTACCAAGAAGATCTACAGCCAAGAGCAGCAATTTTCTGAGGTTTCTCCTCACCTCTCTGGGCCAGAACTCCCTTCCCTCTAGCTGGTCCTCCAGGTAGTCACGGATGATGTTGGTTTTCTGTAGGAAGAGGCCCATGGAGTTTGCCAGATCTGTGTCCTGCCCCACGATGGAATCTTCCAGCTCTGATGCAGAGAAAAGACGGGAAAGGCCAATCCCCACCAGCCCAGCAACGTAGTGACAGTACTGCCAAGGAGGTGCCAAGTTGGGAAAAGGGTGGAAAAAAACAAGATAAAAGAAGTTACAAAGAGCTGCCTGTTTGCCACAGTGAGTTTTACAAAAAGCAATTGACAGTTCATTTGATGCAAGTTCTCATGGCCCTCCCTGGGAGGTCTCAAACACCTTTTCCCAACTGGGATGCTCTGTCTCCTCCTTCCATAGAGACAAGGTGGACCCTACTTGGAAGTGTTCAAAAAACCTGTGGATGTGGCACTTGGGGACAAGGTTCTGTGGTGGCTTTGGCAGTGCTGGTGGAATGGCTGGACTTGGATGATCTTGGAGGGCTTTTCCAACCTTAACTCCATGACCCTACTCATGCTCTGTCTGGGCTGACTCACCTTATCCCACTCATTCTGAGAATCCACCTTTTTTTCCAAGAACTCTGCCATCCCAACACCCATCTTGTGGCAAATATCTGAAATCACATCCTGGTAGACCTTGGACAGGTTTCTGAACTCCATGGAGATCTGTAGCATGGTAAAAACAGAAACAAGAGTGTTCAGGAAGAAAAAACCAGAATAACTCAACATTTATTAAGAAATCAGAAAAATACTATTTACCAGACTCTAATCCTGTCCTGGCTGGAGATTTGGGACAACTCCCCCAACCTGAGCAGTTTCAAGGTCCTTGGAGCTCAGGCTCAGCCTGTTCCCAGTCTAAATGGGATGGTCTCTGGCAGGAGATCAGACACAGCAAGATCTTAGGGAAGGCTCTGTGGCCTTGGACTGGTATCATCTGGGAGCTGCAGGACAAAACTGACTGCACTTGGTGCACAGAGCTGCTTTCCTCTGTAATTTGAGAGCATTCCATCACACCAGCCACGGGAAAAAAAACCATGGGTCTGGTGCTCTGTTCTCCCCAGCCTTCTCCAGCTCTGGCTTCACAGGGCACATCTGGCACAACTGGAAAGGCATCAAGTAGCAAGGGAAGTGTGAAATCCTTCTACTGCATTTCCAATAATGTGATCAGGGAATCACAGAGTGGGTTGGGTTGGAAGGGACCTTGAAGATCTTCTAGTTCCAACTCCCCTGCCGTGGGCAGGGACACCTGCAGTGTCTCCATCACTCTCACAGTGAAAAAAAAATAAATTAAAAGTGCATCCTCCTGTTCCCAAAACTGTAGAGCATCATGTTTCACTGTGCTAAGTTTTATTCTCCATCAGTAGGTGACTACAGCCAGCCCAGGGTTTGTGTACAATAAGGGTTTTTCTGTAAAATAAATGTATCCACTCTGCTTCTGTCTCTGTGGCTTCAGCCTCCTACACAGAGGAGCACAGCCTGCAAATGCACCTCTAGGAAATATTATTAGAAGGTTTTTTACTATAAGGGTGGTAAGGCACTGGCAGAGGATGCTCAGAGAAGCTGTGAATGTCCCCCAAAAAATTCAGGGTCGGGTTGGATGGGGCTTGGAGCAACCTGATCTAGTGGAAGGTGTCCCTGCCACAGCAGGGGATGGAATGGGATGAGCTTTATGGGCCCTCCTAACCCAACAATTCCATGGTTCTACAATTCTATGATTATTAAAATCATACCTGAGCATGGATTGCCTCAAATAAATAACATATACACCAAGAGAGAACAGCAAAGTGCCACAAACACCTTCTCAAAAGCTCCTCTAAAGTCAAGCCACTGACATACCTATTGTATCCCTACACACCCAGAATCCCAACACAGACATCCCCTACGACACTCCACCCCCTGACAGGCCACAGCCATGGTCACCCCAAACCTGTGCATCAAAAACTCACAACACACCTCAGTTCTCCAAACACCTACCCCATTCCCACTGCTAGGGAAAGCCTGAAAAGGGTGGAATAAATTAAAAATTTAAGCAAAAAAATTCTGTTCAAGTAAAAACTTGAACAGAACAGAACATCCTCAGAAAATGAGATGATCCTCATCAGAACTATTATATTTTTTCTTAAACAGAGAGAAGAAAAAACCCTAAAAATAAACTGAATAATAAGAAATCAACGCAGTATTGTTGCTAATAACAGTGAGGGTGCTTTTTTGTCTTTTATCACAGAATTATGGAATGGTTTAGGTGGGAAGGGACCTTAAATCTCATCTCAGTCCACCCTCTGCCTCGGGCACTATGCACACAGGCAATGCACTGTGTTGGCTAACAACCCCAAATCTTTCTCCACAAGACCATGGCCATCTGCTCTTCCAGCAGAGGAGGCAAAAAGCCACTTTCCAGGGCTGGCACTTTTCCACAGCCAGATCCCCTCTGTCTCACAGCGTTGCACAATCTTTGGGATTCTCACCCCAGCTTGGCACCCAGCCCCACAGGCAGGTGATGGAGCCCTTGGGAAAAGCTGTGGGACTGAACAAGCTCTGCAGGCATCGTGTGGACACAACCAGGCACCCAGAGGTGCCACAAGGAGCAAGGAGGAGGCTGCCTTACCGTTGGGAAGTCTTCCAGCACCTGCCGGTCCTTCTCCTTGCTCTCCGTGAACTTCCAGTCTGGCTGGTAGAGGTGGGAGTGGAACTCTTGCAGCATGGGGACCTTGACATCCAAGGGGATGCTCATGTCATCCTCTACAGTGTCCAGGGCACGGAGAACTAGGTAGAATATACAGACTGCGTGTCTGGAAGGGGAAAAAAAAAAACAGTAATCTCTTACTTGGGAGGCAGGACAAAGAGCTGGGATTAACCACAGAGACTTCAGCAGAAGCACTTTGAGCTCAACATGTCACACTATGGCACTGCCAGGTCCCTGGTGCCTTTGGAAGGTACTAGCCAGGTTAGGAAATCCAGGATCTTCCCTCATGAGGAGAGCTACAGCATGATTTTGGGCTTTCTGAGATGTCTATCAGGGAAGGGTCAGGCCTGTGAGCTCCCTGAGCAGGGAAGATCCAACCCTGCAAGCAAGGCCAGTGCTCACCTGGACCCAGAGGACAGAGCCTGAGGCCAGCTTATTGGGAAAAGCAAATGTAAAATAGGGAATGGGGGAAAAAAAAAATCACTTCCCCTTCTCTGCACAACTTTTATCCTGTTGGGAAGGGGGAATATAGGGGTCACAATGTGCAACAGCAACATTAGGACTGGCAGGAAGAGCCAAAATCACCCTGTATTTTGTACCTCTATGCACAAGACACTGCTGGTGTCCCAGCATCCCAGCAGGAAGCTCCTGGAGAGCCACCTCCCCTCCTGCTCCCACCACCCCTGCCTTCCCTATCCCTGCCTCTACCATCCCTGCTTCCTTCTCCATCCCTGCCTCCTCATTTCTGCAGCTGAAGCACAAAAAAACAAAAATAAAACAAGTCCTGACGGAAAGAAATGCTGCTTACAACTCCAGGATTTATATAAAATAATCCCAGATCTCCATGAGCACAGGGATATATGCCAAAGAGACGAGGTATTTATTAATTGTTTAGCAAACGGAAAGTAGCTTGGTGTGCTTAAATGCTAATTACCAGGTGGCAGTGCTGTACTCCTGGAATGGCAACGTGCAAGCAGTGATTAAGCATCCAGGGAAAACTGACTTGCTCTTAGAGCCAATACTGTTAAAATTGGCTTTTTTTCCTTGATTAGAAGGGTATTTATCACCCCTGTCAAACCACATGAGCAGCTCTCTCGTGCTCCTGTTCCATTGCGTGACTGAGTTTTTCCATTCCAGCCAGGCTGCAAACACTCATCCAACAGGACCCAAGTGCCCAAGGCCCCAACCTGCTTCCAGGAGCCACCCAGAAAGGCAGAGCAGAACCTGGAATGCCATCCCAGAGGCACCTCTGACATGGGCATCATGCCCAGGGAAGAGTCAGCAGTAATTCCAGAGACCAGCACAGTTAAAACACTTATTAACCTCAATTCTGCATCCAGACCTTGCCCACCTCCCTAACTTCTATCATGTACTGAATTTACATCCCTGGCAATTTTGGCAAATGAAAGGAAGAAATTCTTTGCTGTGGCACAGGTTGTCCAGAGAGGTTGTGGATGCCCCATCCCTAGAAACATTCAAGGTCAGGCTGGACAGGGCACAAATGGAAGCACCCACTTCCAAAGAAGAAGCCTGGATGTTCCAGAGCTCAGGCTCCAGCCCTGTCCTTGGTGCAGAGGTCTCCTTTCTCCTTGCCAGGACATGCAGCCTCTGCTGAACCTTCAGAAAGAGACCCTGAAGAGTTCCAGAGACAGGCAGGACCATGGAACTGGCAGCAGAGAGGCAGGAGCATCCCTCTTCTCCTCTCCGTCACCAGGAGAGGAGCTCTGAGCTCGGATCATAACTCTTTTCCACCAGCAGCAGTTATAATGCTGTTGGCTCAGCCGTGGATGAAACTGCAGTTTTGAGCCTCCCACCTTCCCAGAAAACACTCTAACCATGGAGCAATGAGCTGGACAGGGCAAAGCAGGTGGTTTATGGGGCCAAAAAAAACAAGAAAGGAGGAACCAGACATTTCAGCTCAACTACCAACACCCTGTCTGGCCAGGGAAGCACTGCTCCAAGCACTCCTCCAGAAGTTCACTATTTTCCAGCAGCCCTTCTGAGAGGCTTATCTGTAACCAAAGGGGCTCAGCTGAACTCCCTGATGGGGTCAAACATCAATGCAACCACTTTTTTAATCCAGCAAAATTAATTCCTACTGCAAGGCTGTGGCTCTGCCTATTCCTCTATCCTCCCCATTTTGTATATCTCCAGTGGAGCTCCTGGTTTTTGAAAATGAGTCTCTCCTGATGCACTGCTGAGCCAGCTGTAATCCAACCACCATCCCTGCCCAACCGTGGGTTGCAAAGATCAGGCAAGAGCATTTTTGGAATGCCAGGCAGAAGTTTCTGTGGCCTGAAGGGTGATCCTGATCCCAGCAGGCCGCAGGGCAAGGATTAAAGGACAACAAAGACAGACCAAGAAAACTGCAGGAAGTTTGGGGCAAGCACAGGGCAGACACATTGCTTACAGGTTTCATAGTGTTTTCTTAATTTTTTGTTTTAATTTCTGCACAGAAAAAGCATGGAAAATAAAAAACTTAGTTCTTGGCTCCACTCGTACTTTTCCATGCAATTCCAGCCAAACCACTGAACTTCTCTGCCTTTTCTGTCAACCAGGCTGCAAACACCATTTCATAAACACTGGACACAGCTATGGGGCACCATCCAAAATGCCAAACCAGGACTCAGAAACCCCAGAGATCACCCAGTGTTTGGGGTGGTGCCTGCTCAGCAGAGCCATCTGATGTGTCTGGAACAACTTCCAGAACCCCTACATTTGATCATCAACCCATCTTGGTATTAACTGGGGATTTAAAAACTGAAATCAGTAATTGTTAAATGAAAATAAGGAGTTACACAGAGAATAACTACGTGCCATGAGGCCTGCTGGACAACTGAGCTTTACATCCTCTGTTATTATTCCCATCTAAAGCTTTTCTGCACAAGGCAGCAAAATCTGCACAGCAAAAAGTGAGTGTGCAACAAACCCCCTGCAACAACTGTGCAGGTTTAGAGGCAGCTGCTTCCAAAAGCACCTCCCAGGCAAGGCCCAGGCCCTTGGTCAGCCCCAGGTTTTTATTTTCTCACCTCCTACCTCCAGCCTTTGTCCAGCGTCAGCCTTGGCACTGCCAGGACACATTCCCAGAGTGTCACACACGGCACACTGCCAGGCCCTGTGTTTAACAGTCTGCTGGCCAGGAGGCTCAGCCCAGAGACACAGTTTGGGGGGAGGGATGTGGCGAAGAGGAGGGATGTGGTACAGCCAGCTGGGACGTGAAAAGCCCCACGTTCTGCTGCACGGGGTGGGGCTGAGCTGAGCGAGTCCAGACATCTCCAGATGGGAGAGGGAGCGTGTTCCCAGCAGCTCCACTAGAGGAAAATTGTGTTTGGGGGCACTGCATGGGCCAGCTCTGGTATTGGGGAGCATCATCACACCCACCAACTCCTGGGGAGACCTGAAATTGGGGGGTCACTGCAATCTCTAAGTACTCAGGGATCCCCAGTGTTGGGGTGGCATTGTACCCACCACCTCCCAGGGAGGAGAATTACCCCCACCATCCCCAGGGGATTCCTGGTGTCGGGGACAAAGCTGCACGCACCCGTTCCCGAGGATCCCCAGTGCTGGGATGGCACTGTACCCACCACCTCGCCCCAGTGCCGGGGGGTCACCGCATCCCCTCCCCGGCTCCCCGCCGTCCCCCTGCTCACCGCAGCTCTCCGTCCAGAGCCTGGATGACGGCGGCGAAGCTGCGGCTGGTCTGGTTGAGGTAGCGGTAGCAGGTGCGGAGGCCACATCCCAGCGAGTCCTGCGGGCAGAGCGGGGCAGAGCGGGGCGCGGGTTGGATGCGGGGGGCGGCGGGCGGCGGGGCCGGGGGCGCGCCGGGGGCTCCGCGGTGCTGCTGCCGCTGCTGTCCCCGCCGCCGGCCCGCTGCCCGCGGGGGGTTCCGCGGTGGGGACAGGGTCAGTGTCCGCCGCAGCACGGACACGGCCCGGGAGCCGGCCGCCATGGGGGCGGCGGCGGGGGGGCTGCGGCCGCTCCGCTCCGCCTCCGGCCCGAAACCCGCCCCTTAACCCGCCCCATCCCGGCTCCGCCGCCGAGCCCTGACCGGACACGCTGCCATGTACGGACAGTGATGTCCAGGGATGAGCGCAGGGTACCGGCACCGAGCAGTGCCAAGGGATGCTCGGAGCTGGTGGGATGCATGAGGGTACGGGCACCGAGCAGTGCTTGGGAAGCGTGAAGCCAGTGGGATGCTCGGAGTCAGTGGGATGCTGGCAGGATATCGGCACCGAGCAATGCAAGGGATGCCCGGAGCCGCGGGATGCTCGGGTAGCACCGGGACTCTGCGATGTCCGGCGTTGGTATCGGCACGGAGCAATCCAAGGGATGCTTAGAACCCGTGGGATGCCTCAATGCACAGGATGCCCTGAACTGGTGGAATGCCTGGACCCCGTAGGAAGCCCGGAGCCGGTGGGATGATCCAATGCACAGGATGCCCGGAACCGGTGTGATGCCCGGAATTCGTGGGATACCCAGAGCCGGTGGGATGCTCGCGGGCTACAGGCACCGAGCAATGCAAGGGATGCTTAGAACCGGTGGGATGCACCAATGCCCAGGATGCCCGGAACCCGTAGGAAGCCCGGAGCCGGTGGGATGCTCGCGGCGTACCGGCACCGAGTAACGCAAAGATGCTTGGTGCCGGTGGAATGCCCGGAACCCGTGGGAAGCTCGGAGCCGGTGGGATGCACGCAGGGTACGAGCAATGCAATAGGACTGCCCGGAACCGGTGCAACCGGGAAGCACCGAGTCGCGCACAAGGCGCACAAAGCAGGGCATGTCCTATACGTGCTGGACTGGTGGCATGACATGATGGTCACCTATGGCAACACCGTATCCGCGCCCAGACGTGACAGTGCCCCCCATCTCCTCCTCCTCCTGTGCCCCGCTCCCCACCGGGAGCACCGCGCACCAGTGACAGCGAAGCGCATCCCGCCGCCCGCGCACCCCTCGCCGCTCACCGTGTCCATCCGCGGCATGACGGTGCGGTAGCCGCCCATCTTGAAGCGCAGCAGGTTGTAGATGTCCTCGGGGTGACCCAGCCATTTCCGTAGCAGCTCCATGGGGGCCGCGCTCAGATCCCACCGCCGCCGCCGCGCGCTCCCGCCGCTCCCCCCCCACCCGCCGCTTAACCGGGCACGGGCGGGGCCGCGCCAGCCCCGCCCCGCAGCCAATCACAGCGCTCGGTACATCGCTCGGTGGGGCGGGCGCGGCGCCGATTGGCCAAGGCGCGCTCGCACCAGGGCAGCGCCAACCAATAGAGAGGCGGCGTGGCTGGTGTGACGGCCGGCGGCGGGCGCTGATTGGCGGAGGCGCGCGTCGGCACAGGCGGAGCGGGAAGGAGTCGGCGGCCGCGAACCCCCTCGTGCGAGCGTGAGGGGAGCGGCGCTGCCATGGAGGCTCGGGAGGGTTGTGGTGGGAATGGAGCTTGAAGACTTTCCA